GAAGATCAGCACTGGAGGAGTGATACCGCGCTTCAGGATGTCGAGCAGCTTCTTGCGCTTCTCCTGTTCGCTGACCATGTACACGATCTGTTCCACGCGCTCCACAGGCTTGCCCACCGAACCAATGTATACGTAGGCCGGTCGACGCAGGTACTGCCTTGCCATCCTCTCTACCGCGGGAGGCATAGTAGCGGTAAACATGACAGTTTGTCTGTATTTGTGCTTGGAGAGGAAATTCTGAAGCAATTTATCCTCGTCTTCTGCATCGTCGTTATCCGGTTTCTCGTTGGTTACTGGCATGAATTTAAGGATTTTCTGGACGTCTGGCTCGAAACCCATGTCAATCATTTTGTCGGCCTCATCAAACACAACATATGTACACTGGTTCAGCACGAGATACCGGTTTTCTAGCACGTCCACAAGACGACCTGGCGTGGCAATAACGATCTCACAACCCATTCGCAACTTCATGCCCTGCTCTTCTCGAGACAAACCACCAATGACAGCAACAGTACGTATACCCAGCGGCCCACCAAACTTCGTTGTTTCCTCCTCAATCTGTTGCGCCAACTCACGCGTAGGGGCCAGAACCAGGGCGTACGGACCCTGATCCGCATCCTCCAGGCGAGCAATCTTTGGCAAAGACTGAATCCATTCCAGGAGAGGGATGAGGAAGGCTAAAGTCTTACCCGAACCCGTCTCGGCCACACCAATGATATCTCGATTCTGCAGGCCAATGGGGATGGCCTGCCGCTGAATGGGCGTAGGATCTGTGTACCCCACACTGGAAATGATATCCAGGATTTCTTTCTTTATGTTGGATTCAGACCACTTTCTGATGGGGTTGGGAATGCGCCCACCCTTAATAGCAATATTGTAATCCTCCCTGAAAATACGCCAATCTCGCTCCGTCATCTGTTCTGGAACTTTCTCGCTCCAGTGCCGGTCGTCCCATCTCTTCTTATCTTCCTTCTTCTGCTCCTTCTTCATGCGGATGATCTCCTGGTCCTTGTCGGCCTGAGTGCGGCGATGCTCGATGTAATTCCCATAGAACTTCGACTGCACCTTCTTCTGCTCCTTCAGATCCAACCCTCCGAAGTGTCCCCGGCCGAAAAAGTGCACGAGATGCTTGTTAATGTAGAGCTCATTGTAGTCCACCGACGTGTCCTCGCCGGCATCCCAGTCGAAGACGAACTTACGGTCGTTCAGCCTGCGGACCTTCTTCTTCTTCTTTACGATGCCCAAGTACCTCTCGTTGACCGCATCCCTCTCTAACTGCTTCTTCTTCTCCAACTCCAGGTCTTCCTTGTTCTCTCGGGGCTCACGGTCTCTCCTGTGGCGGTCACGTTCCCGAGGGTCTTCCTGTCGGAGGGCCTGCTCCAGCTCACGCCGCCCTTCTTGGTACATCTGTTCGCGACTCTTCCGTTCATCGTCCTGTCTCTTCCGCATCTCCTCAACCTGGCAAGGAAAGTGGATTGGTTAAGCTCTGATGACTGGCAATTTTAACTATGAGATAAGTAAGAGTGAAGAGTATAAACAAGAATAGATCCTTTTTTTAAATCCCTGGGCTGATACTATGATAGAAGATAAAGACAGGGAAAAAAAGCAGACATAGAAGAAGAAAAAAAAAAACATAGAAGAAAAACAGACACACTATAAGAAGGAAATGACATACAAGAAAAAGAAAACGAGGAAGAGGAAGAAACAAAAATCCAAGCAACCCCTTTGGTGATCTTGATTTTTTTTTCTTTTCTTTTTCACAGTCACACAAACATCCACACCTATATCCTACACCCACACCTCTATCCCAATCTAAATTCACATCCGCCCCTACACCCACCAACTCCTACAGCCACACCTTCAACACAGATGCACATGTAAACAAACAACCCAAGCCTCACGCATCCACACACAAGCCCGGACTCCTGCACACCCACCTCCTCCTGACGTCGCTTCAGTGCTTCAGCTGCTCTCTCTGCCTTGGACAGGAATTTGGGTCGACTGAGAGCCTCCTCCTCAGCCCTCTTCCGGGCAACCATTTCTTCGAGGGAGAGTGGTTCCTTCTTGATTTTCTTCTCTTTCTCCTCAGCTCTGTCCTTTTCATCGTCCTAGGAAGAACAAGATGCTAGTGTTATAATACAGGTTGTTGCGTATGTCAATCTTGTTGCTGGCATTATGACTTTCCCCATTTCATCTTTAAAAGGTGAACAACACCAACTTTTATTACCAGACTGTTATTTTTTTTCTCTCTCTCTCTCTCTTTTTTTTTTTTAATCAATACAGCATTCTTTGAGAAAATTATCATGGCTATTTCATAAAAAAGAATGCTTACCTTGGGCCCAGATATTACCTAAAAAATAACAAAACATCACTGTAACTTCTGGACATTGCAACCACCAATGATGCACAAAATAATTTGCTGACATATTTTTGTATTTCCATAACTAATTCTCTTTATTACATCAAGACAGAGGGTACTTGCTTTCTTTGCGGTTTTATGAAATATTTGAATAAACTAACACAAATCCTCATGCATACATTAATTTAACAGATAGTACTGTCCATCCTCACTATGACCTACAAAACAGGAGAATACTTCAGAATAAGAGTATGTCTTCAAAAATATGAATCATATTTACCTCCAGAATTAATCTCACCTCTCGAATTAGATACATTTATTGCAAAAACAACAGAAAATGAAATTCAACCATTTTAACTTTTCACATACAGTCCCCTAATATATGCACATCCACTAGCCACTACTTTATGCAATGATCACACCTCAATGTCAATATATAATATTGATTAATTTTCTTTGTTTCTCTTAGCCATTACTATTTTCTAAAGCCAAAATATGGTTTCTTTAAATGGAGAATTATGAAAAATGCATTCACTAGAAGTTGTTGTATGAAAAACTTAGTGCAAGGCTGATTATGAACATTTTCATTTCCTTTCTAAGTAATATGTGATAGTAATATAAATTGATTTGGACAAATTTTTGGGCTCTGAATCATGACAATTCAATCTATACAGTAATACTAAATTGTACATACTACAGTACTTACAAATGAGTCATACAGCATAATAAAGATACTACTTTGCTTTCCACACTGGTAAAAATGTGATGATCTCAAATAGCCATCGGATTTTTTTTATATTCATTATAAACTCAAAATAAGCAATTATATATATCATGATCATCACACAACATAAAAGTATTGCAACGTCTCCCAGCACTGCAAGCATTCAACAGCAATCAGAGCCTCTTGTTTACCTATCACTTAATTACTCTGTTCAACAATGATTTTTTCTTGTTGAGAATGGAAGTTTACTTACTCGACTATAATATTTTTTTCTTACCATTAATAGAAGTCTGTCTTGTTAGTGTGACCACAACTTCTTACCAATAATCAAAGCATATCTTGCAACTACAAGTGCAATCAACATTTCATCTGGATCTCAACTCACGCAATTCAATTGTTACTAATAAACAAAGTATGCTTGTGCATCACTTATATTTAAATGTAAATATAGGTATTCAACATATGCACCATAATTCTTATTGCCAACAATTGATATTCATCTATACACAGCTTATAATCACACATACACGTACGGTACGAGAATACAAGTAAGCGCAATCCCTTTCCTTCTGGATTAAAAAAAAAAGAAAAAAAGAAAAGAAAAGAAAAGAAGCTCTGACATACACACCTCTTCTACTTTGAGCTCCTCTTTGGCTCTAGCGTCTGGCGACCTCTTCCTCTTATCCCCTCGGTCCTTTTCGCGGTCTCTGTCTCGTCCCTTTTCTCTGTGGGGGGTGGGGGTGTGTGTAAGACAAGATTAGGCCTTCAGAAATTGGAAAGGAAGGGGGACTGAAGGAAGAATAATGGGGAGATATGCAAGATTGGAAACTGATCATAAGTTTTCAAAGATGGAGAGAAAGAGAAATTAAGAGATATTAACTCACTCATGAATCACTTGCAATATTTTAAAGCTTTATAAGCATATTTAAGTCATTAATAATTTGTAGGAACTAATAAGTAAGTCTGCTTATTATCAATGAATACAAGAAAGATCAATAATAACATACCTGTCTCTGTTGCGCTCTCTGTCTCTATCATAATCTCTGTCCCTCTCGCTGGCCCTATCTTTTTCCCTCTCCCGGTAATGATCCCGGTCCTTGTCTCGGTCTCCTCGGTCTCCTCGGTCTCCCCTGTCCCTCTCCCTGTCTCTGTCTCCGCGGTCACGGTCCCGATCGCGGTCTCGGTCTCGTCTTTCCTTCTCCTTCCTCTCCTTTCGGTCTCGACGGTGGGACCTTAGCCCCGTGTCCTCATCCATGATGGATGATCTGAAAAAGTTATAATTGTTAAATACGAAAACAGAGAAACATGGAGAAGAAAGAATAGAAAGAAGGGATTGTATGAGAGGGTATAAAAGGAAAGCAAGAAATGGAAGACAGAAAAATTTGAAAATACTATGAACAATGTAGTTTGAACCTCTGCTACAGGAAGGATTCTTAAAATAGAAGAAATTGATAAAAGAAATTAATATAATAATAAACAAAGAAATACATAAAAGGAAGGAAAAAAAAAGTGTAGAAAAGTTATTTCTTACACATTACTAGAATATTCTACTTCAATCTGATGATGATGACAGCTTATAAGTAATTCTTCTGGGATATATAGAAGCTGAATATACCATTGCTTTCATACAAGGAGCCCAGAATACTAGCACAAGCATAAATATAAAGTATAAAGCCTTGTATACAAAATCCTCTCATTTAAACCAGAGGAAAAAAAGGAACATTATATGTTCACACCTGGAAGTTGAATAGAATAGTTATTTCACATTTATCCATTGTAGTGAAAGTAAAGTTTCATTCAAGAACCACAGTAGAGAATGCATGGGGGTGTAAATACCCATTCTTAACAGTATTAAAAACATCAAAGAAGCCCTCACTCAGCATCTCTCAGGTTCCAGTAAAATGCCTTAAAATGGGTCTTACTTATCAAGAGGAATGTAAAGGATGGAGTCTTCTAGAAGCTGAATGACTATTTTATCAAATACAGTCATTCATATTGGTATATATTTGTGAGGTTTTACAATAATTACTGTGGTATAACTAGTGGCACTTCTGACCACACAGGTCTAATGCTCTTCACCAAACTTTATCTGGATCTAAGTAATTAATCACAGATGAACCATTACTGATATTTGTTCAAAAAATGTTTACCCTAAAATAGCAAATTTTCAAGACCATGCATGTGTTTGCGTGTGCGTGCATGAGTGAGTGAGTGAGTGAGTGAGTGAGTGAGTGAGTGAGTGAGTGAGTGAGTGAGTGAGTAAGTAAATGGTGTAAGGGAGTATGTTCAGTCATGGCAACTTATTGTTGAATAGATTTTGTGACATGGAGTTAGGGACCAGTCTCTGGTAAAGATTTACCGATGAACGAAATGACTGACTGACTGACTGACTGACTGTGAGTGTGAGTGTGAGAGTGTGTGTGTGTGTGTGTGTGTGTGTGTGTGTGTGTGTGTGTGTGTGTGTGTGTGTGTGTGTGTGTGTGTGTGTGTGTGTGTGTGTGTGTGTGTATGTGTGTGTGTGTGTGTGTGTGTGTGTGTGTATGTGTGTGTGTGTGTGTGTGTGTGTGTGTGTGTGTGTGTGTGTGTGTGTGTGTGTGTGTGTGTGTGTGTGTGTGTGTGTGTGTGTGTGTTTCATGAGAATAGCTTGAGTTTCTTATTCTTCTATCATCATTCTTTTATTCCTGAAATTTAAATTTGCAAAAGAATTGCATACGAGACCTATAAATGCACATATCAAGTATGATATCTGCACAACATGCAAGCATTTGCTGTAACATTTAAAGAAATATCAACCTTCAGGCAGCTCCCTCCTAATGACAGCTATGGTCTTTCAATTGCCAAAAATTCTGCATGGGAGACAGTCATCTGTAGTATTCAGGTTGAACTTAATCTCTCTCTCTTTCTCTCTCACACACACACACACACACACACACACACACACACACACACACACACACACACACACACACACACACACACACACACAGAGACAGACAGACAGACAGACACACACACACACACACACACACACACACACACACACACACACACACACACACACACACACACACACACACACATACACATACACATACACACACACACACACACACACACACACACACACACACACACACACACACACACACACACACTCACTCTCTCTCTCACACAGTGAGGTGACCTGAATATGTGAGGCATTTGTGTTCTCTGACTATAACGGTGATCAATATCTTTTCAATATCTTATCTATATATATCCATATATATACCTCATCTCTCATTTCATTTTATTTCCCTATTCCCTCTCTAACTCCCCTATTTTGCTACCTACCTCCCCCCTGCCCACCTTCTGGTTCTTATTCCACCACTCAGGACGTTTCTACTGTATCTAATCCCACTCCCATTCCTTTTAGGACTCTTAAACACAAGTTATGTTTATATCTCTAGGGTGAAGTAATACATTACTTATGATTTTTTTAAAATTCTATACTACAAATCTAAATTTTAAAAAAGAGGTTGAATGGCAATACTGGGGTGTTATCAACATTCTTCATATGATTTCACGAACATATTTCTCTAACTACAATGTAAGGTTGCAGTTTAATTTAGTAACCAAATAATGTTACCCGACAAAATTTGACGAAGAAAATGGTTAATCTTTACGGTTTGGATGCACTAAGCTAGGGCAAATTGAAGATGATTTTCTTATAGAGTTCAAAAAGTTACAGTCATCGGCACAGGAACTAATCTGCAGACACGAATGGTAACGTCACAAGTAAAAGAAAAAGGTCGCGCACAGCGCCGCTCACAGCCTAAGTCCAGTCGGTGCTCCAGCGGCTATGTCCACTCGTTCGGTGTGAACGGTTTTTCTTACACTGCATATCCTTTTTGGTAAAAGTAAAAGAGGGGGTCCAGGGTAGCCGTGCCCCCTTGGCTAAGTAAATAAACTGGTGAAACAAGTAAAACTCGAAGATCTGTATCAAGCTCTATCTTGCCATACATATCGAGGTAAAGAGAATGTTTGCCGGGGGGTGTTGCCTCCCCTCGGACACGCCCAGTCACGACAACTTGGACTGGAGTAAATATTGTGCCATTAACCGCGTTAGTCAAATGCTTGCATTTTTTCAGCATGAAAATGAATTATGGCACGAATATATGAAAAGTCGCAAATAGAAAGTTTGGATCGCATTTCCGAAAAGTTAAATTTCTTTGCATCTATAATTTCCTCTGGCGAGTGCGTCTGTACCGTAAAGAATTACCAAGAAAATTTAACAAGTATGGCCAAAAGTGTCGTTGGCTGTACACAACATGGCCTTCCTTAGCTGTTGAAACCAATACCCGATTTCCTAAAAGCCACGCGCAGTCGAAAGAAATTACCATTTTCCAGAGTCATAAATCTATTGAGAAAGTCTTTT